GGCACTTGGGTCCTTCGATCGAATGCGGTCGATGTGAGGAGAGATATCCCTATGCAAAGGGCGCTAGTTTAGATTTCTGATTAACAAGTCTTCTGGGGTTTTAGGTGTGCCGTTAACGTACAGGTGGTTCGTAAATAGTTGAGCGCAACCATTTATAACTTTGTTGGTACTAATTTTGGCAAATAGGCGGGAGATTAGGGAACCATTGAGTGTTCCTTTTATAAGCTTGTTTGTTCCGTCATTGAATGTAAAAACGTTCATGGATAGTGGATGGGTGCTAATTGATCATTCCGTTCAATCCCGCCAGTTGCCGTTCATTGGCTAGAAAAAGAGACATTACTGACAAAGGCAAGAGAGACTGGACTAGCCTTTTCTAGCTTATGGACGTCTAATCAACAGTTCACGGGTTCGAACCTCGGGTCCCTCCCGTGTTGGTCCAGCGTATCTACCATGCCGCCCGTTTAGAAGTCAAGACACTCACTCACAACCACACTCACGCACGCGGGAACCCGTTTAGGAGCAACTCTGCACAACACAACCCACACACTGGGATGACCACGCGGTTCGAGTTATCTCCCGTCAGTTGGCAACCGTCCAAATCATGGTTTTCAGTGTACCTTACTAGCTTCAAATACGCTGAGCTGTCGATCACACTATCTATTCTCATTCCCACGCCACAGCCACTGTTCGAGTTTACTGATGTGGGCACATGGGCGCATGCCATGGAGGTATGTTCGAATTGTTCTTCAGAATATGACGAATTGACGCAAACGAGAGGACCCACCAAGGTAGACTCAGTGGTAGTGACTAGCAGGCAAGATCTACCATAAAGCTTCTCTATCGACCGGGAAGTTTTATGGTAAATCTTGTTTGCTGACGGTCTCCCACCAAAGTTGTTCAATCGGATCAAAGCTTACTACAGCACAACATCAACCCGAGTAAGAACCCTTGGTGAAGATTCAAATTCTTTCCCTTTGACTTGTGAAGTTCGACAAGGGTGTCCTCTTTCCCAGTTCTTTCAGTTTTTTTTCAGTTTATTTGGTGAGGATAATAGGCAATGCCTTTGAA